AGACATCAAGGATATGGCTCTTTGTTACATCATTTCTTTTAAGTGGGCACCATATACAATTCCCAGTGGCCATCTCTAAGAGAAGGTGATGGCATTACCATGATAGAACTGAAAATGCACACCAAACACAAAAGAAGCCAAAAAACATATAACGAGAAAGCATGTGTGGGAAAATAAGTTTGCTGTATGTACACGCAAGAGGGATCTGAATTTACGATATTGACAGAACCCATATCTTGACCTCTGAGGCCAACTCTGTGTTTGGGTAACTACAGAGTTTGCAAATCTAAGTCATTCTAAGTTGGTACCCTCTGGCTGTTGACCAAGATAAGGTCTGAAGTCCAGACCTCCCAGTGACTGAGTACAGAAAAATGTTAATGCTTTGGAAGTGTTTCAAATCTTTCAAGCCATTAGGGGACCATTTTGTGTTCTAAGAAAGATAATTTACTAAAACAAATTGTTACCATATGAAATAGCCAATGCAACTCTTTGAGTCAGTTTATTTCTCATTTCCTAGCAGGCTAAAGGCACCCCAGTTGACATTCATCTCTTCCCACCAATTCTCACATTGCCCTTTGAGTGTTACCTTATTACATTATAACATTTGGACCAATCTGCCTTGTGTTAAAGTTGTTTGGTACTAAAGTAAAACAAAACTGTGTCGTAAGAGTATCATATGGAGACAGATTGACTTGGAGGAACAGGTGGGCCCAAGTCCCGTAGAGAACACAGGGGGCCAACAAGGGGCTCCCTGGTCAAGGCAGGAAGAACAATAGAGAGAAGGCAAATTAGGCAGTGACTGCTCACTGACACATTTCACCTGTTTTTTTTCTAGCAACATCTGACAAAGTTTTGCACCATGTATACACTGGGTAGCAAATAACTTAGACAAGCAAGAGGTGCCACCTGACACTGGGATTTCAGGAGGGAGGGCGATGAAGAAAATCCAGCCTTAGTGAGTAGGGAAAGGGGCAGAGAGGAGAGAGGATGGTTTGGCTGGAGTTGACTTAAGAAAGAATTCTCAAAGGTTCAAGACTCATTGCACACAGTGGAGTCCCAAGACGACAGAGAATCGAACTGAAACACATCCCAGGGTATCCCACGTCTGTTCTAGGAAACTATGAAGAGCCTTCCCTAGCACAGACATTCACCTCTGGCACTTTAGGAAAGTTGGCCCCCAAATGTTTCTGGATTGATTTATGGTAAGTTCCCCACCTCGTCGTTGTTTACATTTTGAGTTAAAACTTTCTTTCTTGTTATGGGGCTGATCTGAGCACTATAGGATGCTTAGCAGCATCCCTAGCCTCTACTCACTAGATGCCAGCAGCACCTCCTCACTGAGCTGGGTGATAGCTGCTCTCTCCTCCTGGGAGCCCTTGAGATATCCGTGTGATTTTGAGGTCTCTGGGACATGACATGTGGAAGCCACACTTTTTCAGGCAGGGTGGAGAGGCTCCTCCTTCTTTTTTATACCTTATCATCTGAGGAATAAAACATGTTGTGGTCTCCTATATTCTTCTGACATGTTTAAGGAACACCGCACAAAGTCAAATAACTTCATCTTTCCTTTTTGGTCTGGGATAAAATTTGAACCCATGGGGGCCATCCCATAGGACCACTCAGTGACAGACACCATCTTGTTCTTTGCATCCCTATGCCCTCTGACAATGCTCTTTTTGCTATTTCTCCCCTTCTCCATCTCAAGAAGCCAGACCTTGATATTCCCAGATCTTGGAGGTTGCAGAGCAGAAAGATAAGTTTTCCCAGAAAAATTTTCTGCCTGGTTTTCATTTTCAAAAATTTCAACTCATGGAAGAGACTATGCTGTGTAGTGAGGCAAGGGAGAAATATTTCTTAAGTCAGAAGGGCAGTAGATACCTATGGGCCCCAGGGAGATTATTTTCCTTGGCAATGCCCTCAGCGGGGTTGGAGACTCTCAGAAAGGAGACATACCTGGTGTACCTAAGGGTTTTTATGTTCTTCCCACCAGAACTTCTGCCTGGACAGCAATTCCCACACCTGTGCTTAACTCAGAAGCATAAAATTACCTGCCTCTTCATCTTTGAGGGTGAACCCTAAAAAATAACTACTGTGTTGCAAGACCATGTGATCCTCAGGGGCAGATTCCAAAGATGGCCATGGTATCTCCTATCTTGAAAGCTGTTTTGCAATGCAACCTTGCCTCTCCTATCAAAATATGAGGTCTATTTTCCCTGCCCTTGAATCCTGGTTGGCTATATAACTCTTGAAACCAACAAAATGCTGCGTGAGATGCTGCATGACATTCAGGGTTAGGGCTGTGCAGCTTCTGCCTGGTTCTCTTGAGATGCACAATCAGTGGGAAGCCACAGGTAGGAAGTCCAATCATCCTGAGACTGCCGTCCTGGAAAAGACACATGTAGTTGTTCAGGGTTGAGAGCCCCAGCTGAGCTCCCAGCAAGCATCTAGCCTCATCAGCCCGCCATGTGCTGACGCATCTTGGGCATCCCGCCCAGTGGAGTGTTTGGCTGCCTGAAGCGGAAGTCAACATCTGACTGCAACCACATGAGAGACTGAAGCAAGAACCATCCAATCCAGTCATCCCCAAATTCCTGAATCACAAAACCATGAGCAAAAGAAAAGGGTTGTTTTAAGCCATTATGTTTTTGGGATAAGCAATAATAGATGGAATAAACTCTCTGAATTTTCTGTTCTCTTCAAAACCCTAGGGACTTCCACATGACCCTGGGGCGGCCAGAGCCACATTATAATTTAGTGGATTTTCTCACCAGCCCTGCAAGATAGAGGTCCTGAGTCAGACTGATAAAATTTTACTTTTGATTTAATAATATGACTTTTCCTGCAAACATGAGCTTATGAAGGAGAATTAATTCTTGCCATACTTATCTACCTGACTGTCTTTTCCTTTAGAATGAATTCTTTCCTAGCAGCTCTTCAATCCTTTCTGTGAATAGGTTCCTGAGAGGCCCACCCAGAGCCTCATCAGAAATAGCAGACACGCCTGAAATTTGCGGTCAACACTGAGACTCAAGCTAGAACCTCGGCTGCTCTTTCCACAGATGATTGTGAGTGAGCAAACAGGCACTGTTAGTCTAGCTTGTGATGCCACCAGAACCTGAGTTTCCTTTGGATCACTGACCCAGGCCACAACATGAGCCCTGGCCACCATTGCCGTGTCCACTGCTGCATCCCTAGCTCCTGGTCTGTTGCTTAGCACATAGGAACTACTCAGCAAATATTGGTTGCATGCATAAACTAAGGTTGAGAAAGAGGGCTGAAACAATGGAATAAGGGATTTAGGTTAAATTTAGGATTTACAAGTGAGGCAGGAGAGTTAACAAATGCTATATTTTTTCTTGCCATTGCTTTAGCACGAAAAACCTTTTTATCTTTGTGTTTTCAACCTAGAGGAACTCCAGTCTTTATCTGAAAGGGAAAAATGAATTCAGCCCCTAGGATTAGTTCTTCAGTTTAGTGATGCATAGGTGATCTTCAGGTTTCTATTTCTTTTCTTTTCTTTTTTCTTTTTCTTTTTTTTTGAGACGGAGTCTCGCTCTGTCGCCCAGGCTGGAGTGCAGTGGCGCAATCTCGGCTCACTGCAAGCTCCACCTCCGGGGTTCATGCCTTTCTCCTGCCTCAGCCTCCCAAGTAGCTGGGACTACAGGCGCCCGCCACCATACCCAGCTAATTTTTTTTGTATTTTTAGTAGAGACGGGGTTTCACCGTGTTAGCCAGGATGGTCTCAATCTCCTGACCTCGTGATCCACCCACCTCGGCCTCCCAAAGTGCTGGGATTACAGGCGTGAGCCACTGCACCCGGCCTCAAGTTTCTATTTCTGTTCCTCCCTCTGTAAAGCTGATTTCTTTCAAAGTTCCTTTCAAATGAAAGATCACATTTCCCTTTAGACGTGACTCTAGGTCTCTATATTTATTATCAAGCTTAATTAAAAAGTAACACTCCAGGCTCCTGAAGTGTTCTAGTTCCTCCTTGTAGGAAGTTTAAATATTTGATTTTTCTCTCTCTAATTCCTCCGTATCTAATAAGTGAGTGTTGGTCATAACACTGCATGCAAATCAGGTCCCTTCCACGTGTGAATTCTAGCTCTGGAAACAAGAGTGAATACGTGTACTGTGGCATATTGTCAACCAGGTTGTCTAGAGCTTTCTAGATAATTCTGTACAAACTTTTTACGACGTGACATTCATCACTTCTGATATTGTCAAGAATAGTTCAGTTTGAATTCCTATTACTGACTCTTTATTCTCCCTTTTAAAGTATATTAAGTAAAAGACAGTTTTCAAGATAATCATGACAGGAACTGCCCTCTGTATTAATAGCATTTACATGACAGTATTTGCATTATTGATATTTTGGGTATATTCTATGTATCAAGAATGGGGATGAAGGGTGCTGATATTTGAGTACAGAATTTCTTGGTGTTCTCTGGCCAGTGTGCCAGACAAATCATGTTTGTCTTTGGAGGTCCCTGAACTTTGCTGTCCTCATTGGCCTTAGTCTATGCATTTATAGCAGCATCGCACAATTAAATACTATTTTGTACACTAAATTAAATTTTGTACACTTAATTAAATACTATTTTGTGTTGTTTGTTTTCATTTTAACTTTGTTAACCTTGTTTAGAACTCAGAATGGCTAGAACTGTGGCGACTCAATGTTAGGCCCCAATAAATACTTGCTGCTTGTTTCACTTTTTTATTTTCAAATCTATGGGCTTGAAATCAAAAAACATTTCTGAATTAACAAAAGAGTGATTAATTCTGACCTTCTTCATTTTGATAAGCTTGGGCTAGGGTATGCCTTGTCTCATGTCTCTTCGATACATATTAAAGAGAGGACATTTTCCAGTGGAACTGTTGTTATGCTTCACAAAACAAACAGAATTTTTATTTTGCAGAGTGTTTATTAAACAAACATGTCCCCAAGTTTTGAAGAAAGCTGGGGAGGACTGGGAGCTAATTTTTCTCATTATTAACAAGACCTCTGATCCCTGAAGGGAGGACCCAGAGTCACCAGCCTGCCAAGAAGCACCGAGCATCTGCTCTGGAGAAGGGAGTTAGGAAGGAAACGTGTGAACCACGCAGCCAGACCGGTCTTCAGATGGCGAGACCTCTGAGGAATTCATCTGTGGTCAATGTGAGCACATCCTCCAATAATTGGTTTCAAGAGATGGAACTCCCGCTTGCTGTCTGGTGGCAGGCACTGTCTCAGGAGGAATGGTTTGGGGCCCAGGGTAGCAAATGGTGCAGTGTCTTTTTTTGCATCTTAGCATGGGCTCTTGTCTTGGACACCCTAGTGGTGACTGCAAAACAGCAGGATGGTCGCACCATGGCGTTTCGAGTCATACCAACTTGGGTTAGAAATTCTGTTTGTCTTTTGATTGCAGTTGATAATACCTGCTTCAGAGAGTTGTTGGGATGATTACATGCAATCATGTTTAGAAAACCTCCCTGGTGCTTCTTGACAATAAATGGTAGCTAATGGAATTCTTATGTCTGCTTAGAGGAGCCTGGGAAGGAAGACCTGCTGAGACCAAAGGAAACAAGTTGTTTCTCTGGAGGACAGAGAGATTTTCCTTCTTTGTAATAGAATGTGGCTTCTATGGACCTCCCCAAATAAACCATGGTACAAAGAGGCGTCAGACTGCAAGATGTCATTAAGTGACTGCCCTGCCTGCTTTTCCATAGGGAATGGCTCTTTTATGGAAAGAGTTGAAAAGCCTTCAATTTACCATGATAAACTGTTTACAGATATGTTTTTATTTCAATTTGTCTTTTAGACTTTATTACTCAGAGCACGTGCATGGAAATAAGCATTTGGGTTTTAAAAGATGGGAGTGTTTAGTCATTGAAACATTTGGCCAGTCCCACTCAGACTCTGTGGAACCACAGCTATGACTCCTTGGAGAGAAATCTTGTCTCTTCTTCTTTTTAAGGTAGTTTAAGCAAGGCAAGATGGTCCCATTCTTTGCTTTGAGTTTCAAAGACAAACTCATTTATTCACCCTTCGAGTTGATTCCTGAGCACATGGGCACACAGGGCGCAGGACACACTTTGCTGGGGAGATAGCATTGGTCTGGGTGGCAGGCAGAATAAACCCCAGCAGACCCAAGCACTTTCCATGGATTTATGCAGGACACTGGGAAGAAGGAAAACAGAACCTTTGCATTCATGCAGACTCCCTGTCTCTGGTGGATATCCCCTATGGAGTTTCAGGAAAGGAAAAAGCCACTAGGATATTCCAGACATTAGCATCCTTAGAAAATGAGAATTCCATTAAAGCAGGGTGACTCCAGGGTGAGAGCTGCAGAAGGCAATAGGCCTTCTGTGTGTGCTCCCGAGGCCTGCTCAAAGCATTTCTGGACAACGCTTCATCATGCTTCGTGAAAGCATCATCAGTTATTGATTTCTGCTTTCTCTTGGGTGGAGAAACCCCCCGGCTCCGCTTACATTATTCTGTTTTCAGCCTTTGCTCAAGTGCAAAGTGCCCCAGATGTCTCATTGCTCTTCCGTCTCCTTCTTACTGACTGCACAAACCTGGGAGGCTCCTTAGACTCCTGTGATCCATGAGGCATTAGGGTGTCAGGTGAGAGGCATTAATTGGGTGCATGGTCACCAAGCAAACCTTGGAAAGAAAGCACTAATGAAGAAGCAGAACCTCCCCAGGATAAGGCAGGAGGAACCTGGGCTACCATGCCTGGGACATGGAGGGCTTCATCTGACCCACCCGAAGATGCTCTTCTATTCCAAACATAGTCACAGACCTATTGATTGCTGAGATGTGTTTTAAAAAGCATCTGGAATCAGGCAATTAGTTTCTGTTTAATGCAGAATGTCAAAACAGGGCCACCGATTCTCTAATTGATCAACTGGTTCTCTTGAATGGTAAGATATGGACTTAGCCAATGGGAGTAATAAAGTAGAATAAAAAGTTGAGAAAGTGGAGCCAAAGATTTATTAGTCTTCCAAAGAAATACATTGTTTATCCTCTCATTTCCCAGTAATTGCTTGTTTATTAAGGTAGCCACTCAGAGAGAAAGCCAACAGCAGAGATTGTCAATAGTAAAGAGGGGTTATGTGTTTACCGTAAGTAGATGGTATTGTGTTTCAGCTATTAGAGCTCTCAGACCATAAAGAAGCACAGAGAAAGTGCCTAGGCTGTACAAGTAAGTATGGGGCATTGTCCATTGCAAATGGGAATTTTGCTAGAGCCAATGGGCTTTAAGACAAAGCTGCTTCCGAGTAAAGGGAGCTACTGGATGTGATAAAGTTAATCTTTAGAGCTGTATGCTTGGGAGATAGCAGGTTACCTGGCAGAGTTCAGGCATTTGGCTCTGTTGATCATGGTTTCAAACACAAGTTTGTCATGTATGAACTGCATTAATAGCTGTGTGACCTTGGATCTGTTACTTAACGTGTTTGATTTGATCATCCTTATCTAAGAGGTAAAATAGTTAAAATGTGGAATAAGGATGTTGAGTGGAAATCCCAGCTCTGCCACTTTTTAAGCTATGGGTTCCTGAGCAAGTTACTTCGACTCTCTATGCCTCTGTTCTCTGGTCAAATGAAGGGGATAATGTGTAGCAGCATTGATGTTCAGACCTGGATGGGTCTGGCCTACCTAAATTTACTTGCAGGTGAGCTGCTGGTGTTGACAGCTTCCCATCCCACACACCTAAATTGTCTTCTCTAGAAGTCTGAGGGCTTTTTCCTGGCACCAGGAAGCTGGCTTCACTGCACAGGCATAGCCTGGATGCTGGCGTTGGTGTCCCTGGGGGCAACCCTGAAACAATGGGGATGGGAGTCCTGGGTAAATATTCTAGCTTCCCCACTTTCTAGTGGAAGAGTTCTGAAAAGCATCTTACCAGGTTCCTCTGAGAGTCCCCAGTAGGATTGGGCCCATTTGCCCACACTAGTGACATTGCCATTATCGTGCTTTCTCCCCTTAGTATCTCACTCACGTTGCACCCTCATTCATTAGTCCATACTCACTTCCCTACATCAACTTCCTGCATGCAAAATCCTTGTCTCAGGGGCTGATTTGAGGAGAACCCAAATTAAGATATTTACTCTAAACAAGTTAAGGCACTTACAGCAGTATGTGGCACATAGTAAAATTACCTGTTAGTAATTTTATCAGCTCTGGAAGCTGTAAATCAATGAAGATTTGGAAGAGTAAATCAATGGATAATACTTGCTACAGTGTCTGACACATAGGCAATAAATACACATCAATTTTCCTCCCTGTTACATCTCTTACCCTCACGTCCTACTGTGCACCTAGTTCCTTGGGCAGTGCTAGGGGAACCTAATATTGAGCAACTATGGGTTCCAACGTTGTTCTAGTAGCTTTATGCTTGACAAAAAGAATAACACTATCAAACACTGACAATGGTAAAGTACGAAATGTACTAGCAAGGACAGAAAGGATGCATAGGTATTGAACTTTAATTGCCCTGAGTGCAAACAAGACAGAATCACTTACAGCAAAAGAAAAAGATCTGCATTTATACTTTGACTCCTAATGCCAAATCATGAGCTCAATAGCATTCACCCTTGATGCTTTGCTCTCATGCCTGGGCCTCTAAACTTCTCTCTCTGACAGTGTCCAACTCTCCCTTGCTTCCCCAAAACTTATCACTACTCTTGCTTACCTCTGCAGAGCGCTGGAATCACCCATGAGTCCAAGATGGAAGGCTGATGAAGAGAAGGAACAGGGAGAGGGAATTAACTTTCCTGAGCTCAGTAAGTGCTTTGATCACTTGACTTTAAAAACTGCTTTTTGCATCATGGCACTCCACTGTGGTATTATCTCTAATTCTCACGGACCCTAAACAATAGACATTTTCTACTCCATTTTACACGTGAGCAATTCAGGGCTCAGTGAAGTGAAGTGACTTGCTTAGGTCATCCAGCAAGAATGATAGGAGCTGGAATTTGAGTTCAGCACTGTTAGTCAGTGCTCATTTTACTCATTTGACTCTAGTCAATGAAATCTCAGTGTATTGATTGTTTTATTTTGGCAAAGAATGGATTGTGTCTGAGGGTTTACTGCTCACAACCGTTCTATGAGTATTTTTGGTTATTCCCTTTTCATATGTCAGGAAACTGAGTCTGAATAAGATTGGATGATATATCTGAAGCCATAATGCTAGCAGTGGCAGATGTAGGATTAGTTGATCTTTATGTCTAACTCCTGTTCTTTCCACTCTACCATGCTATTGTAGTGGAAAAAAAATAGACCCTGAGAAGTGGAGTCTAATTCTCCTCCTCTGTGAATCTGGCCTTGCTTTAGTGACTTGCTTGACTAATAGTATATGATGGAAGTGATGTCTAGAGATTCCTGAAGCTGGGCCATGAGAAGGCTTGTGTCTTCTGCATGAGCACCTTGGAACACTGCCTCTGGAGCTCTGAATTACCATGCAAGAACCTGGACAACCCTGATACCACCATGTTGGAAAGGCTGCATGTGGTCATTCTGGTCAACAGTCCCAACTGATTCCAGCTTCCTAGCTGCCCTGAAAAGTCACCAAACATGTGAGTGGAGCTGTCTTGGAGCTTCCAGAAAACCCAGATGCTAATGAATAGGGTGCCTGTCCTTTGTCAATGCTGCTGGAATAGAAACATAGTGCAGCTGAGCTTTGCCTGAATTCCTGAACCAAAAACTCATGAGAGGTAATAAAATAACTGTTGTTTCAAGCCATTGTATTTTTAAGGACGTATTGAGGTGTGCTTAGTATAATAACTGCACATACTTAAAGTGTATGATTTGACAAGATTTGGCATATATATATATACCTATGAAACCATCACTATGATCAAGAAAGCAGGAATATTTATCAGCCCCAAATTTCCTCACACGTCTTCAAAATTCCACCTCCTGCTCCTCTTCTCCCACCAAGGCAATCAATCATCTGCTTTCCGTCACTAGAGATTAGTTTGCATTTTCTGAAGTTTTACGTAAATGGACACAAAGAGCAAATGCACTCTTTTTATGCCTGGCTGTTTTGCCCCAGCATATTTGCTTGAGATTCATTCATGTTGTACGGTGTGTCAGTAGATTATTGCTTTTTATTATTGAGTTGTTTTTCATTGTGCAGGTATATTGCAGTTTGTTTGTCCATTCACCTGTTGATGGACATTTAGGTTGTTTCCATATTTTGGCTATTACAAACAAAGGTGCTATGGTCATTTCTGTTCCAGTTTTTGTAAGGACATATGTTTTCCTGTTTCTCGGGTAAATACCTACAGTGGAATAGTTGGATCTCAGGATAGGTGTATGTTTAACTTTTTAAAGAAACTATTAAACTATTTTATTTTTATTTCAAAAGTTTTTGGGGAACAGGTGATGTCTGGTTACATGGATAAGTTCTTTAGGTGTGATTTCCAATACTTTGGTGCACCTATCACCTAAGCAGTATACACTGTACCCAATGTGTAGTCTTTTATCCCTCATCCCCTTCCCACTCTTCCTCCCAAGTCCCCAGAGTCCATTATATCATTCTTACCCTTTTGTGTCCTCATAGCTTAGCTTCCACCTATAAATGAGAACATACAATATTTGGTTTTGCATTCCCGAGTTATTTCACTTAGAATAATGGTCTCCAACTCCATCCAGGGAAGTCAGTTGCCTCACTCCAACATTTGTGGCATGTTTGATTCCTGCCTTGACCTGCTCTGACCTTTCTGTCTTCCCCTTCTTTGTCTGCAAGTACTGCTTCAGTTTCAGATTTCTTGGTCAGGCAGCTCTGCAGGTTGCTGACAGTCAGTGTGGTCAGTCAGATCATTCATGCTTCACCTCTGAATATCTTCTCCACCATGCAGTGAAGGATGCAGGATGTGCCTTGCTTCAGTCACTCAAGGAAGTTCAGGAGGCCTGCTTTTTTGTGCTCTTTTCAGTTCACCTAGGTCCTGATGGGAAGAACTGCTCATTTCCTTGAGAACTCTCAAGCAGAGCATTTGGGGTGATCAAGGACTGGCCTTCAGCCTGGGTGATGTGAGGCAAGCACTGGCCTGGGGTGCTGGCTGCATTTTGGCTCTGACCTTTTTCATGGACCTCACTCTGGGCTGTATCAGGGGAAACCCATCCCTGATATTCAACGTGGGTCCTTTTCTATTTTCCCTAAGTGTCAGCTGGTCTGAGAAATAAAGGGAAAGAGTACAAAAGAGAAAAATTTTAAAGCTGGTGTCCAGGGGAGACGTCACATGTCGGCAGGTTCCGTGATGCCCCCCCGAGCTGTAAAACCAGCAACTTTTTATTAGCAATTTTCAAAAGAGAGGGAGTGTAGGAATAGGGTGTGAGTCACAGAGATCACATGCTTCAAGGGCGACAAAAGATCACAAGGCAGAAGGTCAGGGTGAAACTAGAATCACTAATGAAGTTCCACGTCTCGCTGTGCACTGCACACATTGTCAGGGTTCAAGATCAGAGAACCAGTCTGACTAGAATTCGCCAGGCTGGAATTTCCTAATCCTAGCAAGCCTGGGGGCACTGCAGGAGACTAGGGCATGTTTCATCCCTATCTACATCTGCATAAGGCAGACACTCCCAAGGCGACCATTTTAGAGGCCCTGCCCTGGGAATGCATTCTTTTCCCAGGGCTGTTAATTATTATTATTACTTACTGGGGAAAGAATTCGGCAATATTTCTCTGACCTGTTTTTGGTAATAAGAGAAATATGGCTCTGTACTGCTCGGTCCCCAGGCAGCCAGACTTTAAGGTTATCTTCCTTATTTCCTGAAAATAATTGTTATCCTGTTCTTAAGGTGCCCAGATTTCATATTGTTCAAACACACATGCTCTACAAACAATTTGTGCAGTTAACACAATCATCAAAGGGTCCTGAGGTGACATTCATCCTCCACTTATGAAGATGGCAGGATTAAGAGATTAAAGACAGGCATAGGAAATCACAAGAGTATTGATTGGGGAAGTGATAAATGTCCATAAAATCTTCACAATTTATGTTCAGAGACTGCAGAAAAGACAGGCATAAGAAATTATAAAAGTATTAATTTGGGGAACTAATAAATGTCCATGAAATCTTCACCATTTATGTTCTTCTGCCATGGCTTCAGCCAGTCCTTCCATTCGGGGTCCCTGACTTCCCGCAACAGGGCTGAATCCCTTTGTGCTGGCTCCTCTCTTCTTCTCACTGCATGTCATCTCCTGACCATAAAGGCCACCAGAGCAGTGCATGCCCAGACCACCCAGGGTATACATAGAGTCGCTGGCAGTAGTGCCAGGATTCTGCATGTCACTAGCACTGCTGCCCACAGCGGGGCCAGGGTCAGCTGAACAGGCATTGTGTGGCGGGCAGCAGGCCCTCCGTGGCTCCCGAGGGCTCCACAGCTCTGCCTCCACTTGCCCGTGGCCTGTGGGCCACAGCTGACCACTTGGAACTCTGTGGAGTGTTCTGACTCTAACACAAACAAGGGCCCACCAACCAGCATAGACCGTCTTCTGGACGGGGGAAGAGGAGACATCTCGTGTTCTAGAAAACTGTGTGTCTGATTTTGCTGTGCAAATAGAAATGACATTACTTATGCAGGGCCTTGGACAAGTAGATAGAGCTCCTGGCAGACACTTCCTCAGGCCACTCGAGGCCCCACTTGGCCCTATAGCACAGCTAGAGGGTCAAGGCAAGGCCATGCCACAGACCCGTGTCCACACACAATCCTCTCAGGGCAGCGTGGTGGACTGTCCCTGGTGGGGCTCATTACCCTGATTGCAAGTTTCCTTCTGTGGCAGGGAAGACTGTTCCTGCCTACAAAGAGTCTGTCCCCCCTGCTAGATTGAGCTCCTTGAAGAAGGGACAGTGTTTTCATCACCTCCATAGCCCCTGTAGCTCACCAGTGCCCACTATACACTAGGGGCTCAGTTGCTGTTCGTTTTCTTTTTGACTCTGACTTGGGACACGTCACTTTCCCCTCTTGACCTCCATATTCAGAACTGTGAATAGGAGTAAATGGTTCAAAGTCCCTGTAGCATTAAAACCCCTCCAATACAGAGAGAACTCTGAAACCAGAACCAGATGTTGAGGACTGATAAGTTATTTTCTATTAAAGGGTAGAAGCAGATTAGTAAGAAAACTCCTGCTACGACTCTTGTGCCATGGTGAATGGAGCATTTTCCCTGGCATGATGGATGGGACATATGGATCTGGATATGAGGGTGGTGTCTTGCTCCTGGAATGCCTCTGCAGACTCAGACCTTAGTTTGCAAATCAGACTCAAGAATGATCTTTAGTGTTGATGGTTTTGTGTGTGTATGTGTTTATGGATTTTTGTTTGTTTTCGAGACTTCATTATTGACAAAATGTGCAGGCCAGGTCCCACTAATGCAGGCCTCCATAACAACTGGTTCAGTACTGACTGACTGGCTAGGTTAAATATTAAAAGCCAGTGCCATTATACAAAGGCTGGAATGTAACAAAAGCCCACCAAGAGTTTTGCCTAGGCCTTTCCTGGGCCTTAAAACATAACAAAATCACGAAGGACTTCTTAACAGGACCCATTTAGGATTAAACAAGTTTTATTGTGGTCTGAAGAAACTCCCCAGGCCTCCACAAACAAGTTTATTGGGGTGTGAACAAACTCCCCAAACCTTCATGATATAGCAGGAGACAAGATCAGGGTAATCACCCCAGCCCCGGATCCATTTAAATTAAGCACATTTACTGAGGCTCCAAAGGAAGGTCTTCAAGACTCAGACCCTCAGACCTTAGTTATAGATTGAAAGAAG